AAATTATAAAGATGATGGGAAATACCTAGGTGAATCATATTGTAATTCTAGAGTTTCTGATTTTTATTCCAAATTCTTAAAGACATAGGTATTGATGGTTATAAATTTAGTTGATTCTTACTATTATCAGTTATGAAGAAATAAGTCTATTGTATGCAATTTCCATATTATTATTATGCGATTTTATGGAAATATAGTAGGAGACCTGCAGGGGGGTGGGTTTATAATTTATCTATTTATTAACCAGTGTGGCAGTGTGATGACTGATGACACATAACGTTCCTACGTTAATATTAAAAATCAATATATTATTCRTCTTATTCCGCTTGCAAGATAATAAAACAATAAGCTTCTTGGTACAATAAGGGTACATGTGACATATTATATTCTTAATAAGTTTCATCGGAAACCACGTCTGTCAGGTATTGTACCTTTGCGAACAAACACCAAATACAAAGTATTCTGGGAAAATAGTCAGAAATATAATAATAAGTCTGTCATTTTATGCATCTTGTTTAAAAATATATAACGYAGTACCTATATGTGTACTATATTGCCRACAATTTTTTTTTTTTTTTTTCATAGCTTCTTGTATAAAATTATAAATCAACAATTATTGATTATAAAAATATAGATAAAACAACTAAAATATAACAATTAAAGATAATAACAGTTACAGATAATAATAATGTACAAACCATTTGTAAAATACAATAAATGTTTACAAAGAAAATTCAAAAAACAGAAAACAAAAATTAGATGCTAAAGCCAGCCTCCAAAATAAACGCAAAGATTTGAGTTATGACTATTTCTGAAGTAGAGTTCAGGATAGAGAAAAGGTTAGGGGTGATGTTAAAAGCTTTTAGGAGKTTGAACAAAATAGTGCGTTTTAAGTGCAAGGAAGGATATTCTAAAAGAATGTAAGATATATCATAAACATATCCTGTTAAATGTAAGGTACAAAAAGGAGCGTTATTTAAATCCAATTTGTATGCATGGGTAGAAGTGTGTGACCTAAACGAAGGCGATTAAATTGTACGATGGATTTTCTATAAATATGGAGGTTTTATGAAGAATTGAAGGAACAATGTATTTATATYTGGTAGCGAATTCTGCTGGGAGATTTTACCACTGGGAGGCTCAAAGGTGTTTTTTGTGGTGACGTATAAAAGGAGTGAAATAAGTATGAGGAAGTTGGATAAGAGACGGACAAATTAAGTTAGACGT